AGCAAAAGTGTCTTAACAATTTGAATTTACGTATGAGCCACTTATTTGCACTCGTTCAATATGTATTTAAGATATAATGAGTCTCTGTTCCTCATTTCAAACATAATATGCAACGAATTTCATTCATTAGCATGAAAAAAAATCGCGTCCTATTTTACAAATACTTCATAAAACTTATCTGTTACAGTCTTGTTGTCATCTTGCTTTAATTAAATCTATTGTCTTCACAGTGGCGTATTGATATACAGTGTGCAAGTGTTTGACGTCATTCAAATATTTCTATGACATCACAATATAACATTACTTTTGTCTCATACGAAAATTATGACACAGGAATGAATAATATGTGTTTTAAGTTGCGTGGATTTTTTAAAATGAAGATACGAACTTTAAAAAACTGCATTTGTTAATGTGTATGGAGACAAAACATAATTTATTATGAATTTTTCATAATTATCTTCAGTATGTTTCCTTGTACTTACCGCCTCCAAAAACGCCCAGTCCTTTCCTCACGTCGCCCAATAGCCCGTTGTTGCCCAATCCTATCCCACCATATCCGCCGTAACCACCGACGCCATACCCACTGTAACCAGAATACGGGTATCCGAACTGACCCTGAATGGATTGTATTATTATAAAAATAAACACACACGGGACCAAGATCAAAATTAAACTCTTACTCATTCTGACGCTTTGATTCAATTACAATTAGTAAAGGAACCTGTGAATCTCTAAGAACGGTCAAAGCTTAAAGACTGACGAAATAAATTTTCAGCAAAGAGTTTATATACTTGGTATTATTACCAATTACATCAGGGATGGTTCAAAGTTTACTGAGCAGATGTCGTTTCCTTCCCTTAATTGTATGTACTATTTGTTTGTATGGTTGTAATTACGTTTGGTGGATTGCGCCTCTGGGTAAATGTCGTAATCAATGTGTGTTACCTTTCCCTCACCTGAACTCATGTCATGTTTGTTTACATCTGAGTTTGTTTATCTCAAGCATCGAGTAAGACATTAGATATTCTTACAAATTAAATCTTATCAAAATAGTTCAATGTTAGAAATATACACACTGCTATATAATTCAAATAGAACTGTAGTAATTTGTGAGAAAATCGAAGACAATATATATTTTTGTAGTTGTGAAATAACTTTATTACTTTATTTTATGCATTCTTTTAATCTGGTATTTTTTTTAATAAGACAATAACTTTGTAGTCATTTCAAAAAAAAATAATGAAATTTTATCAACCGATTTGGCCTTTTGTTTTACAGAAAGTAAGCCGTGAACCATTTCTGGTACTTGATTTCTAACTTGTGTTGTTGAAAATTTCAAAACAGTTGTTTTCTTCACCGAGTTCTTTGTTTGCGTTTTTGTCGGTGATTAAATTAGGTAGTGATAAACAGTTACATTGAACAAAGATTAATCATTTTCTCCATAATATCGTTTTTGTTACGCTAGATAGTTGAATAATCCCGTAACTATTACCTTACAAAAAAAAAAAAAAAAAAAAAAAAAAAAAACAAAAAAAAAAAACAAAAAAAAAAAACAAAAACAAAAAAAAAAAAAAAACAAGAAAGAAACCTACCAGATATTGATTGAATATGAATGAATTGAGACGGAAATAAGTTTAGTCCTTCTCAACAGTCTCCTTCTACATGAATACATCGTACCACAGAAATGAATATGAAATCTTAAAGATTTTGATACCGACGTCAATTGAAAATTAATGGGAAATGTGAATATCTTTTCAGTATTCATGGATTATAAAATTATAAAATATTGAAATATGTTTTATAAAGAATACCTTGCACAACTCGTATCGGGATTTGCTATTTTTATCACATTGACTTTAACACTAATTTACTACAATGCCAAGGTATATCAAATGCATATTTAGTGTTACATTTACTTGGTATTGTTTAAACTAGTTAGATTGTATAATTTTATCATTTATAAACTTCTCAAATAATGGCTATATACGACATGATAAAGACTCGGAAAAGCTAGCGTACTGACTGTGATCTACCTCTGCTACTAGGCACAATACGTTACTTTTTAAAATTTCATAAACAGGTAAACCTGGGTTTTGAACATTATGATGAAAAAGACACAATGTAACGAGAGTTCCGTAAAATATATTGTTCAAAATTTATCAATAGTTCAACCACACTGTGCTTCTTTTTTGAAATATAAAGTTATCGTATTGTTATTAAAAAATAACTAATTTTGGATGCTTTTAAAATAACTATTTGAAAAATCGCGGCATTATTTACGCAGAAAATTGCCGCTAGAGGGCTCTAACTCTTTTCGATATTTCAGCCAATGAGAAGGCCAGGATCGGTAAATTTTGTCTGAAAGGCCGTCGCAATAGGCTGTACGTATTGAGTACGTTTAGCATAAAAATGACAGAAATAAAATACGTAACGAAAGGGCAATTTCTATGATGAAATACATAAGTATTACACTGTTGTGACATTTTATCCTGCAACTGGCGCTACCATGGTCGGAATACACCTGCCACATGAATAATAACGGAAAAATATTTTCGAAAGCTATAATTTTACATGGTTCATTGAAGATTAGTTCATTGTTTGGATTTCTGGATTATTTTATCATTACTGAATACGTTTTAAGGATTTTGGTTGTCCAATCACAGACGGCGTTAGCGTGAATAGCGTTATAACATGGGTGTCCTACGTCGTTTCCTGATCAAAATCAGTAGTATGTGTGACCATCCCTGACGTCAGTCGCTTCTCTAACTCTCCTTAACATTGACTCCATCAAGGTGTTTATTGTCCTTTGATGGATATTATTCCACTCGTTAATAAGGGCCTACGTCAGTTGAGCGACGTTATATGGGACGTTGACGTGCTTCCTAATCTCCTGTCCAATTAGTCCGAACAAATGCTCGATTGGGGACAGATCTGGACTGTATGGTGGCCAATGAAGAACTGGGAAATTGTTTTGTGCAAGAACGTCACGACAAACCCTAGCAACATGGGGCCACGCGTTGTCCTGCTGCAACGTTAAGTTACGTTGATGGATAAGAGGAAGGACGCGTGGTCTCAAGAACTGACATGTTACTGCTGTAAGATTGCCATGGATAACCAGGGGAGGTGTTTTCACACCTTGAGATATCCATGCCCATACCATAACAGGCCCTCCACCCATCCCCGAATCTGTCGCTTTCCGTTATACAAGCGTCAGATCATCGCTAACCACGACGCTGATAGACACAGTGTTGTCCATCTGACCTGTAAAGTGTGAAGCGATAATCGTCAGTGAACAAGAAACATCTTCAATGGGCCAAACGAAACCAATTAGATGAAAGCCACTGCATTCGACCTTGGCGTCGCCTCTACGGAAGTGACGGCCCGTCATAGTGACGTCATGGCCTTAAATAAAACTCGATCAATTGATTCCTCGGACACTCTTGGATTTGTAATGATTTACCAGCACATATGGTTGAGGTTTAGAAATGTATTTCTGAGCGGAGCAATTGATATGGTGCACGTCATCATCCAAAATTCAGCGTGTTGTTAGCGTGAGGTAAACAAAGACAGAACAGCAAAATTGTTTCCATAGCCTTACTTTCAATCAATGTTGCAGGATAAATAAATTACATGGGCAGTGTCTAAGAATATTTGTTTCATTTTGACTCGGGAAAGGAAGACATTTGTGGCTCGCCATAGGCTCGTCACTCTTGTCTTTTTTCACCCACGCCAAAATACAGCTCGCATTGTAGGACACTAACCATGCATTCCCAACCAAACAGGTAACTAGATTCTCATTCTATGTTGATGAATGTTGCAATCAAAAACAGGTCCATCATGAAAAACAACAGGAAAATGTGACCATGTCAACATAACCACAATCCAAACTCAATAAAAAAAAAAAAAAAAGAAACACTGGAAAATACAAACAAAAGAAAGATTTACAAGGAGACTCCTGAAATAAATACAAGGAGAATAAGACAAGACGTTCCGGAAGAGTAAGCGCCTTCTGACACTACATACATATATCTTATTAAACATACATAGGCTAGTGTACAGATTGCGATTCAATTAAACAGTTAATTCAGCTAATTAAACATAGAAAGCTACTAAAGAGAAATCCGCCGTATTGTAGGAAGGAACATACTTCAAAACCGTGAATATCCCTCCAGCTACAGAGTACCAGTGATGATTTGTAGAGAACCTTAATCAAGTGGCAAGTGCTACATACAAGCTCAAATTGAATGACCCTCCAAATAAACACACAAATGCAAGCAAATTTACAAGAAAACCAGCATCCGCTCATAACAGACAACCCCAAATCTCCAAAGAAGGAAGCGTAATATACCATACTATAGGACGAAAATCCCCTTAAAACTGGCCCGTAAAAAAATAAAAATATTTATTGCTAGAAGACTAATACCCTCTCGCATTCCAGAACCCCAAACTCCGTGGCAACAAACACAAACAAAAGAAATGAGGGGCTAATGGGTACGGGCCCGAATCTTGAAACCAAAGAGCGCCAACATGATTCCAGCTGACAGATTGTACAATTACAAATTCAGTGTATGAATAATACTTCAGTGGGAATTTTAATGGGAACTGAATATAACATAAAAACAAAACAGAAGACAATATGAAAACCAGTTAATGATCCCTGTTGGTTTGTTTTAACGCCAATGTGTATCATAAAGATGTATGTGGTTGTATGTAATAACGTGACTTAATTGCTGTCTAGTAGCGTGTTTACCTTGTGAGGTACATGGATACGTTTGTAAATTTCCGTATGTTACACAAGGGTAGAGGTTACGGGGCAATGGTACAGGGAGTCATTACTGTGATATTACATCACAGAGAAAACGAAGTACACATCCGAATTTTCACAAGACGTATAAAAAGGACCAACGTTTTGAAAATGACAGTCTCTTCTTAAATCGCGATAGAGATTCAACACAAATTTTGGTTTTAATCAGAACGTCTGAGAGGAAAAATTTAGCAAGATGAACAAGGGAATATTTTTCATCTTCCTTCCATGTCTTGTAGCCTTTATCCTGATTCAGACCACACACAGTATATACGGAGGCTATGGGGGTTACGGTGCCTACTCTGGGTACGGTGGGTACCCGTATTCAGGTTTCCAGGCCGGAAGGTACTACAGTAACGCCCGGGAAAGTATGAAAACCGCCGCTATTTTCAGTAGTCGTAAGTACAGAGTCTTTTCTGTTGTAATTTACGAATTATCCCCACTTCCGGTCTTCTAAATTTAGCATTATTGACGAGTCCTATAATGACGCAACAGTTGTATGATGCAGTTGATTTATATCTTTGACTCTACTCTATCTACATGTAACTGTAAATATTTATTTTAAAAAGTGCTAATTACGTATCTTTTTATTGTGCAATCTCCTCTTCACTAGTTTTTCGAATAGATATTTCACCGCTTGTATTTGTACATCCCTGGACTTTGTGTCACCCTATACATCTTTATTTGTATTTTTGATATAATTCTCTACTCACAAATTCTGTCTATCGTTTACTAGAAAATGGACTTCCCATGGAAAGTAGACATCAAATTATTCCAGGAATGATGTATGCTGATGATATATATATAATTTACTCTAGTTAATTTAGATTTTCCTTAAGTGTGCCCCTATCAACAATAATTGGGAGGTAAAGGTCATGATTTTCTTTAAAACAAAAAAAACCACTATATGTTATAGTATACTTTCAAAGTGATATGGAAAGACGCTGGTCATTTCAACGTGTATAGTAACTTTGACACACGTTGTCTGTAATCTAAAGGACCATATCGATGGCTATTTTATCGGGTCAGCATTTTCACAATTTGTTTTAAAACAAAGAAATTATATTTCAACGAATTCTGATTTCGCGATCTGGATTTAAAAAGACATCTAATAAAATGTGTCTCGTCATGTTAACAAACCATAGCGAAAGGTAGACATCAAATTATTCCAGGAATATATTTTATATCAAGCATGCACTTACGTAAAATTTGTATTTATCTTCCAGTGGTTGGATTCTTTGTCGTATTGTTCCTGTTTAACCGTACAGGACAGATTCTGGGATAAAACGGACATCGTGCAGCGCCATCTACCATCAATCACACACATTCAGGGGTAGGTAACAATCAAACAAAAGAAAGGTCGATCTCTCCGATACGGAAATGACGTCATGACTTAGAGCCGTTTGCATTTGACTCAGATATAAATATTGTAAATTGTAAACTATAGTCGTAAAGGTAACAAATATTTTAAAAAGCTAAATTAAGAGATAGTTTTAGATATGCTAGGGGTAAGTTCTGTCGATCGTCCTTCCTACACTGGATTTGCTGTCACCTGCACGCAACGTTTCCATTTTTAGATATAAACAAAAGATCGGTTCACAACATCCACATCTTTAGTCATTTTCAATCATGATCAATAGTTCATCTTTCCTTATCCATTTTGTAAATATAGCCGTAATTTGTATAAATTGCCATATTTTGTTTTTTACTTACAGGTCTAAAGCTGACAGCCAAAGTCTTTGTGCCTTAATCTAAATTTCACTCTTTATCCATGATTATTAAAGCGTTTTTGAAAAAAAAAATTCTTTGTTTTCTGGACATTTTTTTATGTACATCTTTGTGTAACTGATAATGGTGATGTTTTACTATCCTTTCTGACTTATTTGACGTGACATGCAAGTCCTTTTAGTAGTGCCATGAACGGATGTTTCCTACCATTTGGTAAGTCATGCTTTTTACTTAATTGTTGATCCGGAAAAAAGAAAGGAATTTACACGAGTTTTCATTTCATATGAGACAAATATTTTCATAAAATGGAAACTAATATATTCATCACAAAACGGTTACTTTTTCAAAGTATTCGTGAAAACAGATTTTTATAATACCGATAAGGGGACCTTCAGACTAATAGAGCTTAGGTAGGTGTTATAACACATGTCAAGACTTGATTGATGTTATTAAACTTTTATTAACACGATATCAAAATAAATTGCACGCCTCCTTGAATTAAGACTTTAGATTTAATCCTTTAAGAAATTGAAATATATTCACTTATCAATTTCAGAGAAAAGATTAATGTTACATCGGCGTTTATCATACCACAGACGACATTCGAGATGATCTGTTTCTGGTTATGTTAAAAAAAAAAATACCGACATGTCAATCGAATCTAAATCTAAACTCAATTACGTCAAAAGAAGATCACACGATGAAAAAAATGCTTAGCGAATCAGGACAAGAGTTAAGGAGGTTCTTGTCAGTGTTACATGACTGAATGACGTCATGCTGTTGAGACGGTCATGAAAATCCTCTATAGCTGATATTTCGACAATCTGGGTTTCGGGGTGTATAATTGACAGTGACCCTTTGGCAGATCCCGTGAAATTCTAGAAAGACTTTCCCTACAAGGACATTTTGGAAATGCTTTATCATTTATGTTCGTGTATAACTAATACTTAAGGCAATATAAATGATAATTCGTTTGATATTGAGCCAAAAAAACAGAAAAAAGAAAATAAAGTAACAGGAACAGGGAACACGGACTTGCTGGATAGGCAATTGCAATGTCAGAATACAGCTGGATTTGTAACAAATCTATTTGGACTATTGTAAGAGAATGGGGGCAGCAAATGTAAATTGTCAGACTCTTCTACATCCGCAGCTTACCTTGATGTTTTCCTATAACGAAACCTAAAATTTTTCATATGTATATCTACCAAGCTATATGATAAACATGGCAATTTAAATTTCCCTTCTAAGAACGATTTGTTTCTAGATGGTAACAACTCTGTTTTCAAAACCTCCGGTGTTGTAATGTATTCAATATTCGAGGGATTGCTCCTGATATCACAATTTCTGTGATAAAACTCGACTGTGGACAGAAGAACTCACAACAACACATTTGTGTGTGTTGTTGAAAACTGTGTGAAGTTTTACTTTGCTGCTGAAGACTGTGGTGAAGTTTTACTTTGTTGCTGAAAACTGTGGTGAAGTTTTACTTTGTTGCTGAAGACTGTGGTGAAGTTTTACTTTGTTGCTGAAGACTGTGGTGAAGTTTAACTTTGTTGCTGAAGACTGTGGTGAAGTTTTACTTTGTTGCTGAAAACTGTGGTGAAGTTTTACTTTGTTGCTGAAGACTGTGGTGAAGTTTTACTTTGTTGCTGAAAACTGTGGTGAAGTTTAACTTTGTTGCTGTGGTGAAGTTTAACTTTGTTGCTGAAGACTGTGGTGAAGTTTTACTTTGTTGCTGAAGACTGTGGTGAAGTTTTACTTTGTTGCTGAAGACTGTGGTGAAGTTTTACTTTGTTGCTGAAGACTGTGGTGAAGTTTAACTTTGTTGCTGAAAACTGTGGTGAAGTTTTACTTTGTTGCCGAAGACTGTGGTGAAGTTTTACTTTGTTGCTGAAGACTGTGGTGAAGTTTTACTTTGTTGCTGAAGACTGTGGTGAAGTTTTACTTTGTTGCTGAAGACTGTGGTGAAGTTTAACGTTGTTGCTGAAGACTGTGGTGAAGTTTAACGTTGTTGCCGAAGACTGTGGTGAAGTTTTACTTTGTTGCTGAAGACTGTGGTGAAGTTTTACTTTGTTGCTGAAAACAGTGTGAAGTTTAACTTTGTTGCTGAAGACTGTGGTGAAGTTTAACTTTGTTGCTGAAGACTGTGGTGAAGTTTTACTTTGTTGCTGAAAACTGTGGTGAAGTTTTACTTTGTTGCTGAAAACAGTGTGAAGTTTAACTTTGTTGCTGAAAACAGTGTGAAGTTTAACTTTGTTGCTGAAAACAGTGTGAAGTTTTACTTTGTTGCTGAAGACTGTGGTGAAGTTTTACTTTGTTGCTGAAGACTGTGGTGAAGTTTAACTTTGTTGCTGAAGACTGTGGTGAAGTTTTACTTTGTTGCTGAAAACTGTGGTGAAGTTTTACTTTGTTGCTGAAAACTGTGGTGAAGTTTTACTTTGTTGCTGAAGACTGTGGTGAAGTTTTACTTTGTTGCTGAAAACTGTGGTGAAGTTTTACTTTGTTGCTGAAAACTGTGGTGAAGTTTTACTTTGTTGCTGAAGACTGTGGTGAAGTTTTACTTTGTTGCTGAAGACTGTGGTGAAGTTTTACTTTGTTGCTGAAGACTGTGGTGAAGTTTTACTTTGTTGCTGAAGACTGTGGTGAAGTTTTACTTTGTTGCTGAAAACTGTGGTGAAGTTTAACTTTGTTGCTGAAGACTGTGGTGAAGTTTTACTTTGTTGCTGAAAACTGTGGTGAAGTTTTACTTTGTTGCTGAAGACTGTATGGAAGTATTACGAAGTTGCCATAATGATCGCAAAAGGAAGTGTTCTGCGGAACGTTTGTTTACTGGAAAACTATTCGGTTCCACCGTTGTTGACATAACGTCCATTTGAGAACGTGACATTACTTGCGTTCATTGATCAAGATTTACATAGATGGTATTTCGATGAAGCAGAAGACGCCCATATTTCCAAACATTCCGAAAGACCTAGTCTTAATTTCCACATATTTTTTTAAGAGTGGCTATTTCATTCTTACTTTTGTTCATATTTGCCCTTGTTACACTGATGTTGATGTACATCAGTACCTTGTACCTTGTAACAGCTGATTTTGTATATCATAGGAACTGTAAAGTGCACCATGACTGTAGCTGTAGAATTATGTTCTAAAGAAAACCTCGAATGAAATGAAAACATTATTTTCGTAGGCGATATATTCCTGAAGACATGTCTATAATGGTAAAATTTCCATTAAGACATGCTCCAGTGTTTTTGTCATTATGTCTAGAATCCCGTGTTGTGGTTACAGGAATGATCTAAACAGTAACCTTTATTGCATTGCTTAAATATTCGGTAAAGAAAAAACGTTATAGTACAAAATGTAAAATATTATCTACGAAGGGAAAAGTTGGAACGAGAACAGCCTATTCCGTGCGAAAATTTGAGACAATTATTAGATTAATATGTCATCTCCAATATCAAGTCTTCAGAATATTTAATTTCTATCGTTATTCATAACGAACGAATCATAGGTCTTGAAAGTCAATTTTGATAATTGTGTGGACTAGTTCTGATCTTCAGCTGTCACCGCTTAGATCTATACAAAATAGATTCATAGCATCACCGTCGAGTCCTGGAACGACGGAACAGGTGTATGTTTCAGTCTGATTCAGGAATTGTCTCTACTGTATCCAATTCTCATTTATTTTTCAAAGGATGCTTGTCACATTTATTGCTTTGCATAACCATTACAGAAGAGAGGTTGAGGAAAAATGTCAAGTATTAAGGATTTGAACTTTATTTGAATTAATTCATTAATTAGAGTTATTTGAAAGTTATGGATGTATATTGTATGTCGTTTTAATTCAATAAAGTTACTAATACAGAAATAAATCCTATTTCCTTGATAAAAGCTTAAACGAAAATGACACTCTCATTCATCTATCATCATGAGGAGACAAAAATGACTCATTTATCTGTCATCATCAGGAGACGAAAGTGAACCTCAATTTATCTATCATCATCAGGAGACGAAAGTGACACTCTCATTTATCTGTCATCATCAGGAGACGAAAGTGACACTCTCATTTATCTGTCATCATCAGGAGACGAAAGTGAACCTCAATTTATCTATCATCATCAGGAGACGAAAGTGACACTCTCATTTATTTATCATCATCAGGAGACGAAAGTGACACTCTCATTTATTTATCATCATCAGGAGACGAAAGTGACACTCTCATCTATCTATCATCATCAGGAGACGAATGTGACACTCCCATTTATCTACCATCATCAGGAGACGAAAGTGACGCCTCAATTTATCTGTCATCATCAAAAGACGAAATTGACGCCTAAATTTATCTATCATCATCAGGAGACGAAAGTGACACTCTCATTTATCTATCATCATCAGGAGACGAAAGTGACACTCTCATTTATCTATCATCATCAGGAGACGAAAGTGACACTCTCATTTATCTATCATCATCGGGAGACGACAGTGACACCCACTCAAGGTAAACTAAAAACACCAAACAAATCAAATAATAATGAAGTTAATACAAAGTAT